TTGGAACATATTGGAATTATAAACAACTGCTCGTATATCCGGGCAAAATTACGAGTGTTCCGACTGTCCCTCAGTTCATCTTGAATGGTTTTTTGGGAAAAATATTGAAAACCTGTAAATATTGGACAATATCAAAGTGTAATAGTTTCAGTTGTACGAAAAGAATACGACCGATTAGGTAGCCTCAAGTCAATTTGGAGAAATTTTGTTGTGCATAACAATTCGCCACGCATAAATAATTCGCGCTAGGTTTTCCGCATGATGATTAACATCTTCAAAGCGCGCATAATTTAGTCCAGAACATGACCAATTTGGCAATTTTAAAACCACCAGAGCTTTACAAAAAATAATCGGTACAAAAAAATACTTTTCAAATTTGAATTTGAGAAGTCGATATCTTCAATTGGGTACAAAAACTTTTTTGTTGAAAACCTTTCTTTTGATTGGCGAAAATTGACTGAATAAAAAAACCATACCGAGCATAAATATTCCGTTTTCTTCAAAAGTTGGAATAATTACATGTCTAAGAGAAAACTAATCACATATGTTTGGCTAAATCATAATTTTTTGTTTATTAAAGACCAGAAACGAAAAAGAAGTGTTTAAGTGGAATATATAATAAATAATTTTCTTTTTATTACGTAATATTTGAGAATTTTCATTTGACGCCAGCTGGTTGGCACTGAATTTTTGTGATGATCTGTTCTTACTAATTTATTTCAAGCAGAGTTCAAAGTTAGAACAATAATTAGGAAATTTAATTAATCGAAACTTTGTGAATTCCAATTTTGTGAATTTCCATTTCATTTTTGGCAGCTTATCTAAAGACCAGAAAAAGTCTTATTTAGTTTTCTTATACTCGGCCATTACACGCCTTTTTAATATTTTGATTAAAGTCATTTTAAGTTTTTCGTTACACTAGGGTTGTTTTCCGCTTCAAGTGGAATTTTTTGTTTGTTAACCAAACCAAAGCCTCTGGTCTCCAAGATCAAGTTACATGTACAAACCATTTTTTTACCTTAAACAGGTTTTCACCCGGTTCAAGTTACGATTAGAACATTTTTTTTTTCAGTTTTAACCTGCAGAAAAGTATGTCGCTATAACTACAGTGGTACAAGGCAAAGAATTTTTCCTAAAATTTTCATGACAGCATAAAAGACAACTTATTCCGTCGGACGTAAAATGATCGAATCTCGGTTGTGCTCGGTGTCGTTTTTCTATTCAGTCAATTTTCACCGATCGAAATAATAATTTTCAACAAATTTTTTTTATTCCCTATTGAAAATATCAACTTCCTGAGCTCGAATGTAAAAAGATATTTCACCTCCAATTATTTTTTGTAATGTTCTGGGGATTTGAAAATGCTACAATTTCCATTTTCTGGACTAAATTACGCGCGGTTACAAATAGTATTCATAATGCTGAGAGTGTAACACGAATTGCTGATGCGGGGCGAATTATCCCGCAGATCAAAATCGTTCCAAATTGAATTGAGGCTAGCTAATTGGTCGTATTAATTTCGACTCAAACTTTTACACTTAGATATTGTCCAAAATGTATAGGTTTTCATTATTTTTTCGATATGAATGAAGAGGCCCTGAAATACGAGCAGTCTTGATTTTATTTGAAAACATTTGAATGCAAGCATACTGAATTACTGTCAAGCTGACTGTTTCTGTATTATGCTGATACGCATAGACACGTTCTCGGATAATTAAAACTCCGCAGAGATGTTAAAAATTTGATGTTGGTTTTTAGAATGGTTGAATTTTTTTCCACCAAAAAAGATATATGATTCGCAAACTGGACTCTTTGAACTTTTTAAAAAGTTTTAACCTTAAAAGCAGAAGCGTATTACACGATAAAAGTCGATTCAAACCTGATAATAGTCGATAAGTACAGAAGCGTATAACACAAAAAATGCCGATCTGTAGCTCAAATGTCTCCGTGTTTTAGTCTCCAGTTTTCAGGTTTCTAGTTCTGATAAAAAATTCGCCAGATTGAAATGAAATTTATATTAATGCAGTTTGTTTATAAAAAACATATTTGGAATAAAAAAGAAAACAGTGAGTCGGTAAATGGCTGTCAATATAGACCTTCGTTTTTCGCACCTTGAAGTGACATATAATTCTCACAGGTGAGCATAAGTTTTGCAAAGATAAGTCAAAAGTGTTAGAATAGCATAAAAAAAACAAAGGTATGCTGCAGTTTATACAAAAAATGTTTCTATCTGAATCGTAACAACGGATACCATATCCGGAAATCAATTTCTTCACAAGAGCGACACACCACCTACCTGTCTTCAAAAATGGCCAACATAAAATTTCAATGAAATTAAGGATATATTGTATATTTAACTTTTATTCTGAGAAAAATTGATTCAATAAAAATTTCTTTTTCACTAGTAATTTTAAAATTTTTTCACTTCATTTGAAATTTCTTTTTTTTTCGAGAGCGAAGTTGAATTGTTTAAAGCAAATTAATTTGAATCAAAATCAAAGAATCAAAATCAAAACTCTGAAAATCAAATTCGAGCATGAAAAATTTTCACTTTTTCATGAAAAAAAAGACAAATTCAGCACAACCTATAAAAAAGTTCTACGTTCATTGACAGCAGCCACCAACACAGCGTACAAAACACCTTATATTGATTTGCCAAATAAAATTAGAACTAGAGCAGTGCTTAGATACTGACACTGCCGTTGAGAAATTTGGCTGCGCACTAATTTAGGTGAGTTGTTCTGTACAAAAATTATTGACGTTGGAAGATGTAAATTGCTATTGATAGTAAGTGTTGCAGGAGAAAAAAGGGCTAAAAATTTCAATTTTTTTAACAGGCGAAGCTGAGCTTCGCACCACTTGCGATACAGAACAAGGAAAAAAAATTGTAAATTCGAAAATGTCGAAAAAACTAGAGCCATTAAAAACATGCCAAAAAAGAATGAGAAACTAGCATCGGAAAATATTGTACCCAGCGGTAACAAAACCCGAAACACTTTGTAAGAAAAATTCTAAGCTTAAAAAAATCAACAACACTTATGAAAAGCTAATACCCTCAGCCGCAAAACACGTAAACACTAAAAAAACTTTATTTGCTCGTCAAATGAGCCAATATGAGGCCACTAAGCTTATATAAGAGAGGTCGAAATTTTATAAGCCTTAAAAAGGAAAACAAAAAGGCCCGAAAAAATTCAAAAACATTTAAGACTAAGAATTTATTAAGTCCCCCAACACCCTCAGAACACAGACAAGCACGCACATACATTTTTCGCTCGTCGAAAGACACAATATGAGGCCACTAAGCTTATATAAGAGAGGTCGAAATTTTATAAGCCTTAAAAAGGAAAACAAAAAGGCCCGAAAAAATTCAAAAACATTTAAGACTAAGAATTTATTAAGTCCCCCAACACCCTCAGAACACAGACAAGCACGCACATACATTTTTCGCTCGTCGAAAGACACAATATGAGGTCAATAAGCCGATAAGGCCGAAACCTATCAAAAAAGGGGGAAAAACAAAAAGTCGAAAGACGAAAAAACTGTTCTCATGACAAGCTTGAACTATAAATTCTATTAAGATTTTTACCATTTTGTGCAATCCAATGTGAGCAGAAAATAAAAATTTTGAGTTAAAATTACTCAAAAATTAGGTCACTAAGCCGATAAAAAATAGACCAAAATCATTTGGGCAGAAAAAAAGTTTAGCGAAAAAAAAACAATATTTATAAAGGTTAGTAAAAATAAAAACAGCGAGGCAGATAACAACACTAAAAGCAACTAGTGTGAACAAAATTTTTTTAAAAAAAGCAATTCAGCAATTATTCAGCTTTATTCAAAGTTTAAAGTTCAAGACAATTTTTGACTCGATTTTCTCAAATTTTTTTTATCAGAATTGATGCCATGTTACCGGTGCCTCCTGATAATTTTGAAGCCCCAGAAATGAACAACACAATTTCTTTTTCAAAAAAGTCCAACCCCCGATAACTTTCGACCCCCGTGAATAACGCACTGCAGAAATTTCTCATGTCTTAATAAGTTTTAAACATGAACTAGTTTTTTAAGTCTTGGTTTCGATGCGCGAGGATTTTCGATAAACTTCTGTTCTAAATTTATATACAATTAACTGTGTTTAGGCGCTTAGCGTAGAGGTTGGTAAGGCGTTTACTTTGAGAACATCAGATCATGTAATCGATCATCTGCCATCACCATGATGCTTGATCTCTAGCTTCAGATCTACCAGAGCCTGACCGGTATCGGCTGCAATAGTGGTACCATGCGAAAGTTCTAGACGCAGAAAAATATGAACCTCTAGTCTCAAAAAAAGAGCGTGCTCAATAAGATAAATCAGACTGAATAGGAGGAAATACAAAGGGCTAATTATCAATAATTAATAGTGGGGATAACCCGCAACACTAGTCGATTTCTTCATAGATCGCCCACTTCTAGAATATCGAAACCCTCGAATTTTGGTGGGTCTGCATAGATTCCATGGGATTTTTTTTTACAACAAAAATCATATCAAAACTTAAGAAAAATTATTTCGAGAGTTCCAAAAAATTTTTTTCTTCGCAACAAAATGTCATCTGGATCAAATTACTAAACCTTTATGCAACGTTTTAAAGTTCAAGACAACTTGTGACTCAATTTATTAATATTTTTTATCAGAATTGATCCTAAGCTGCGTGACCTGATAATTTTGAAGCCCCCGCAATGAACAACACATTTTTTTTTCAAAAAATGTCCAACCCCTGATAACTTTCGACTCCCGCGAATTACGTACTGCAGAATATGCCGAGACGGGATGGATAGTTTTTCATAGATCTTCTGCGAATCGCAGAAACCAATTTTTCAAGGTATACAACTCCAAAAACATGAAAAAAACGTAACGCCAATCTTTCAAAAAATTTCTTTCCTGTTCTATTTTCACTTTTTTCTTAAATTACAACAGTCCTTTTATAAGCTTGAAAAAAGTCGAGTAATATCGCTAAAATTGACACCAAAACAATGAAGCATTTCAGAAGTGCAGCGATATCAAATCGATTCTAATAATTTTATCTATAACAATTTTTTACTAGACTGAATTTGTGTACAATTATATTAATATTTATTTAAATGATCAATTTATATATGAACAAATTCAAAGAAAATTAAGAAATTTCCAAAGCTCTCGCAGTTTGTGAAAAGAAGACTTGAACAATTGTACACCATTCGTAAATTTAATCGTTAGTGAGAGTTTTTTGTTCGTTACGATAAGAAAACAGGTCCAATGTCGTGATAAAACAATATGGTTAATAATCCATCCTGGCCGTCTTATTTGAAGAACAAGAAAAAGAAGTCGAGTGTTGTTGGTCCTGGAAATCTTACTTGACCGGAGTCCAAAATCTGATCGTTTTGTATCTGTCATTAGGGATCTGTGTTTTAAGTGTATGAATGTGTGTGTAAGACTAGGGATATAGCTGGATGACAGACTGGTACTGGTCCATATTTCTCTTCAGAATGTCTTGACAGGGTCCCAGGATCCTCTCGAAACGAGGTCTATCAACCTTGACGCACTCTAGTTTCCCGTTGGCCACAACAGTAGCTGCTCTAGGTCTGTTCAGGATAAGTGCTATCTCTCCTAAACGAAAAAGCATATTTTCTACAGAATTCCACCATACGAAGAATCTACCCTGTTCCAATACTTCGTGCTTCCAATTCTTATGCCAAATTCTTCATAAAATTTTGCAATGAATTTTTAACAGATGTTTTTAACAGAAAGCAATATACGTTGAAACTCTCCAAACTTCACGAATATTTTACCCAGAGGCAAAGCTACGCTTCGTAGACACTAGCGAGGACGCGTCAAAAGCAGCTCTAAAAGTGCAACAAGAAAAATTACCAATAAGCCTCGAATTAGTAAAAATTCGGCTAGGTCTCGGATTCGATCTGCTTCCTATTGCGACCCTGAGTTTATGAGCCTTATGCACTAACCACTCGGCCACAAACGCTTAATACTTTAGCCTCAAATAAAGCATATAACAGATGCTATGAAATTTCCAATGCCAGATCACTTAAATGTACACTTTCCATTTTCAATAAACACTTATTTGCAAGGTTAGAAAAAAAGAAGGTTCGTACTAATACACTACGCTGATCGCTAGTGTAATGATCGACATTATTTCCATAAAACTAGCCCCATTAGAAAAACTGGATCGACAGGTAATGTTTTATTTCGCTGGGGAATCACGTTTTTTGTGCTAATTTAGATTTCTTAATTGGGAAGCGTTTTCTTTCAGAAAAAGTTTTTGAAGTCAACTTGTAAAGTAATCAAAAGTTAAAAACCATTAGTCAAATTTGAAAGTGATCAATTTTTAAAGCTTTTTTCCAAATTAAAGATAAAAATCACCATAAATAAATTCGCTACGTTCGATGATGGTACTTAATAAACACCAATCGTCATCAATGAAAAATACCCGATTAAAAAGAGACCCCAATGCCTGCTTCTACCAAAAAAATAACAGGCGAATCTGCACTTAGTAGACAAAAGCGAGAAAACGGCAAAAGGTAGCCCTAAAAGGGCAATCAAACACCCACGACCTCGAGATTAAGAGACTAACGTCCTATTATCTGCGTCATGAACGCTTGACAAGCGTTAACACTAGCCACCAATCAACCAGATACAAAGAAAACATAGGCAATCGAAGATTGGAAAAGAGTAATGAACGCAAGTAAACATTAAAAAAAACACTGACTTCAATGAAAAAATCTTAACTTTCGAATTTCGAACAAAAAATAGATGCCCTTTAATCTTTGAATTTCTAGAACGACTTATGATTGGCGCTTTTTTTTATTTTTGATAACATGAAGCCAACTAGAGAAAACTGGATCAATAGGTAAAGTTTTTATTCCGCTGGAAATCTGAAAATTAAATTCCACTTTCGAAACTAGAAACCATTCATGTTTTTTTTCGCGCCATTTCCACGTTCGTTTTTGGAGAGTGCTATTTATGTCACTTTCAGCAGATGAATTTCAATTGAACTCAAAAAGTGCATATATACCTGAGTGCATTCAAAAAAGCATCAATATGTATGAATGCACATCTGTAGTTATTAGAGACTTTTCCTGAAAAAAAAGCAAAAAAAAATCAGTAAGACCTATGTAAGAGTCTTCTTTACGTCCATTACTCTTAATAATGCTACTGCAACAAAAATACCAGATGTTATGAATGCTATTGCCGCAAAACCGCCACCAAATGAGCGCTTTTATTCGCGACCTGGGCATGTGAAAACTAACTATCACAATGGGATTCAAAACTCACACAAGTTCGTTTTTATTTGGTTTGCTTTGATTTGTTTTGTGGCTTACCGAAGTAGTCTGAGGTTTTGAGTGTGCCGACCTCGACCTCCTCCGACTCTCCGTCCTTCCTCTGCAGCACCTTCGCCTCACCCTACCCACAAAACACATACCATCATACCAGTTAAATCGAAATAAAAATGAAGCATGTTTTGTTAAAACGTCACTGCGCATTAAAGTGAACTCAATGCGCATTGACCACGTATAACCTCTGTAAATGAAATCACAGAACTAAGGAATTCTAAGATTTGGATGACTACGAAACGTTTATTACTTAAATGCAACCACCTCATAATTATGAGTGAAAATTACACAAAGTCAGACATTGCCAGCTGCAATTTAATATTTTTTAACACAACTCGCCTTTCAATTGAATATCTGTGTCGGCCATGCTTGTTGAGACAGCATGATTTATAACTACTTATGTTACTTATGAAGTCATGCTTTTAGTGATATTATAGTTTACTTGAGGGAGACTATCAAATATAAACTAGATTTTTTCACTTCAATAATAACATTCCCATATAATAAAGAAAATTTCAAAGCTTAATTAAACGTTTATCTAGTGTTTTGTACATGTTTTTTGGTTCATTCTGGAGTCCATTTTGACCACCGATTCTGGCTTGCTTTCCAGATGTTTTTTTATAGATCAATAATCTGAGATTGTTTATATGATCTTTTAGGTCGATTTAGGGTATAACCAGGGGCGGATCTAGGATTTTCTCGAGGGGGGGGGGGGGGGGCGGATTTTCAAAAAATTTTCCAAAATTTTGACGACTTTTTTTTTTTAGGTCGACCAAATTGATTTTTCGAGCTCTCCCAAAGCACTGTTTTGCCCCTATTTTGGCCAAATTTTCTGCGCCGCAGGCAAATTTTAAAAAAAAACAGTCAAAAAAGCCGTTTTTGGGCACTTTTTGAAAAAATTTTGACAAAAAAATCGCGTTTTTTTTGGCGCGCGCTCCCCTATAAGTTAGTATATATTGGCGCCAAAGGCGCCTTTAGAAAAATTTAAGGGTCGGTTGGCCAGAAATGGATTTCTGAAAAAAGTATCAAAGGGGGACCCTTTGGGTTGGCAGGGGGTCGAATCCCTGAGGAGGGGGCGTCCCCCCCCCCCTAAATCCGCCCCTGGGTATAACTATATCTATTTTTCTCAGACAATAAGATCTTTACCGATGATTGTAAGCTCCTAACCGTGATTACCTTTATTATTATTTTTGTTCTTCTTAACCTCGCGCAACAAGTTAAATCGATCTTGTTTTATTAGTTGTAGCGGTGTAATGCTATTCATATGTGGGAAGATGAGACGTGGCCTACATTGACGATGATGAAGAAGTCGTCTCCTGGCTCGCCCTGTTTCACAACTACTCCCCCGTCACTGTACGTGATGGCCTCCAGACAGTCTGCAAGAGACATCGCCTCCCACGAGTCAAGACTCTCTACAACAAACATCATCAAGTGAAATACCTCCGCCACTAAATCGAAGTAGGGTGCTGATTCATTCATTCAGTAGAGCATACTGTTTTAAAGCATTCAAAATTTAGTAACTAATACGTTCGTTTAGACTTGATTAACTGGGGGAGGGGGTATTGTTCAATTGATCCAGCAAAGGTAATCATCAGTCACTAACAAATGCATAGCAGAAACCTGAAAAAACCACTGGTAATGCGGAACGCACCATTTCTGACAATGTTCAATTAACTCACCCAATATTGGCACTTTCTTCAGGAACTCTTCGTACAGTTTCCTCTTCTTCAGAGTGTTTCCCTAAAATAAACACAAAAAAACATGAAAATCTTGGACCGCAACTAGGATGCAACACATCTGTTTAATTGATCACTATTCTATTCACTCTACAGCGATCAAACATCACTTAATTCAATTCATGTCAACAAAGCCATTTATTCTTTCAATTTCAGAATGTTGTTTAACTGAGGGAAGTAAAGTATTGAGAGGAAAACATTAACATCACCAGGACTGTCATATATATATTATTACTAGTCCTTAACTATATTATGTTGTTTGGCGCCATTGGTTTTGGCCATGTGTTTGGTGCGGCTAACAATTGATTAAGTACCTGCTAATCTTAGTTAAGTCGGTGTATGTTTTGAGTTATTGTTGCTAACCGTTACGACTAAAACAGTCAGTCTAGATTCAGTGAATTTAAGATATTGAACGTGCATTTTTCACATGGCGCAGCAAGCAGGACAAAGCGCGGGATCAGGAAAAAATCCATTGGGAATTACGGCATTTTGGCCGAGTAAATGTACGGAAGCACCGATGCTGTGGGAGCATTGGATTACACGTTTTACATGGGGTGTAATAGCAAAAAAACTCATTCAATCCGACGGCATTCTATTTTGATCGGACGCTAACCGCGGCGCAAATTACAGACCTGCCAGAGGAGGTGAGTGGGAAAAATCGTTTGGAAGCGGAGCAGACATTAATCTCTAACCTTTACTTGTGCTTGGGGGGAACGTGGACAGGACGAATTACATAACCGAAAACCCCATTTGGACCTGGCGACTACCCGATATCCTCGGGTTTTGGATGAATTTGAGAGTGTCTTCAGGAAGGAAAGAAACGAAACGTTCGAAACGTTCCAGCTACTCTCTCGAAAACAACGTGACGGGGAAACGTTGGAAGAGTTTCATTCCGTATTGAGTGGACTAGCCGCTAGATGCTCCTTGGGGGCACTGGAACGACGCGTGTTACGTGACGTATTTATAGTTAATATGTCCAATAAGGAGGCCCAAACGGAACTATGTCGTTCAACTAAGACGCCAGATGAGGTCTACCGAATTGCTTTGTCATCCCAGCGGGGTGACAAGTACGCCAAATTGTATAAAGTATCCGGTGGGGGACTTACCGCAGCACCAGCGGGGTCATTACAAATTAAAGCGGAGCCAGTAAGCGCAATCAGAGGAGGTTATCGCCGACCATTTCAATGAGGTGGACGTGGATTTGGCAGAGGAGGCACAAGGGGTCGTGGAGGAGCAGATCGCAAGTACTATAATTGTGACCAGAGTGGTTTTACCCCGGATCACATTCCAAAGTGTCCAGCAAGAAATGCAACCTGCAACTTTTGCAAGAAAACTGGGCATTACGAGCGAACTTGTAGAGGACGTCGATCGGCGAATAGGGGTCGAGTGGGCATGATGAATGAGGACGGCACCGATGGCGGGATTGAGCAAGATTATCCGGAGGAGAGTGTATCCAACTACGGAAGTTCCGTTGGATGAGTAACCGATTCAAAGGCAGCGGCACATGGTTGGGATTCGGATAGTTCAACGGAGTATGTAGTTATGTCAATCCGGCGGAAGGAGGAAGAAGAATTGAGAGTCGCGGGGGCAAAGCTAGCATTAAAGATCAATGGTAAGGCAACTCAAGCCTGGATTGATAGTGGCTCGCCAATATCTATCTTTACCATTGTGGAACTGAAACGTACCCTGGGTACAGCTAACGTACATTTGAAACCGCTGGATCCGAAAGACGACCAGTTTCGCGACTACGGCAACAACCAGTTGAAATTCCTGGGGAAGATGCAAGTCACGCTTCATTCCAACGGATGGACTAGCTCGGCGGATATCAACGTCATCGGAGGGTGCAGACCGTCTATTATCGGCAGGGATTTAATGCCAGCACTAGGACTGATGTTGGTCCAAGCACCACCGATGAAAGGGGTAAACAGCATACATTCACAGGAAGGAACTGTGGAGACGGACAATGACTTGGACGATTGGCAGAAACATTTTCGTAAGCAATTTCACCATCTTTTTCGCAGGGTAGGGCGTATCCGTAATTACAAAGTGCAGGCCGAATTCTTCAAGAATTTAACTCCAATTCAACAAAAGGGTAGGCGAGTGCCCATAACATTACAAGAAAAAGTTTATAAGGAAATTGACAAACTTTTGGAACAGGGTCACATTCATAAATTGGAAGAATGTTCAGATAAATATTTTGTCTCACCGATCGTCATCACAGTGAAAAAGGATGGTTCGGTAAAACTTGCACTAGAATCCAGAGAATTGAACAAGCAAGTACATAAAAATAAATATCAAATGCCCAATATGGAAGAACTAATGGACATTGTAGGGCAATCGATCAGCGAACGTAAACAGGGGGATGTTTTTTTTTACAACGATGGATCTCACGTACGCATACGGACAACTTCCTTTGAATGAAAATACTAGCAAACATTGTAAATTTTCTTTGGTGGGAGGCCGTTCCACCGGTACATATCGCTTCAAGACAGGATTCTATGGATTGACAACCATGCCGGCGGAATTTCAACGTGTCATGGATGCTATTTTGGCTGAATTTCCTTGTGCACATGCTTTCATTGATGATATCTTAGTAATTTCAAAAGGTACCAAGATTGAACATATTGCCCTTGTGGAGAAGATTTTAGCGAAACTAGATAAAGAAAATATGGCTTTGAAACTAGAAAAATGTCAATTTGCGAAAAATACTTGCGAATGGTTAGGCCACCGGATTACAAAATCAGGGATTACACCAATGGTGCGGAAAACAGATCCGATTGACAAATTAGCCGCCCCGAGGACGCTCTCACAATTGAAGTCGTTCATGGGGTCAATCCATAGCCTTCACAAATATTTACCTAGGTGGCTGAAACTTCGGCGCCCTTACGTCCATTACTTAGTAAGAAAAACGAATTCGTATGGACAACTGACTGCCAAACAGCGTTTGAATCGCTTAAAAAGCAAGTTGCGAACATAGTCGAACTTAAGCATTTCGATGTGCATAAAGACATTCGAATCGTGTGCGACGCGAGCCATAATGGGTTGGGGGCTGTACTCGAACAATTAGGCGCCGATGGTTGGCGCCCTATATCATTTGCGTCTCGTTTTCTAAATGCGGCCGAAAAGAAATATTCGACAAATGAGCTAGAAATGCTGGCCGTAGTTTGGGGTTCCGAATATTTCAGAAATTACATTTTCGGGCGGAAATTTACTTTAGTGACAGATCACAAGGCTTTAGTATCATTATTGAATGGAAATAATAAGAAAAACAAAACTATGTTCAGTCGGTTGACTCGTTGGATCGATCGAATTATACCCTTTGATTTTGTCATTGAACATATGCCGGGGGCTAAAATTGGCCTGGCGGATTATCTATCAAGGCATCCGGTGGGGGAAGCAACAAGAGTTAGTCTCTATGATAACACTTTCACTGTTGCTAAACTGCATTCAATTACTAATTCACTCGGTTACATTAATACCAATAAAGGGATTATCAAAGCACCAAAGGAATCAATTGTTTCAGCTAAAGATATACAAGTTGGAAATGATCGAATTAACTCTCCATCGGAAGAGGGCGTCAAAACGCGTGACCGTCGGCCAACCAATCAGAAGCCAGTAAAACGTATAGCTAAGTGCAATGACCGTGAAGGCGCGAAAATCGTGAAATCAATTACGGAATGAAAACTACGTGAGTCTGATATTATTTCCACTGTAGACAGTAATTCTTCTTTTACTCAAACAAATACTTCTACAATGAATCAATAAACTTAAAGAAGTTAAATAAATTATTGTTAAAACACCCAGAGATCACGAGCGGCAGTAGCAGTGAGGTCGAGATAGTAGATGCACGACTGGAGGCGGAGACAAAATACTAGGGACATCCGATGCAACACGGTAATTTCCATTCCTTCGGCATTCGGAGGCGAATTATTTCCAGCGGCATATCCAGCGGGAGGAAATGTCATTATGTCGGTGATTCCCCGGGACTGTAAGATCGTCCGAAAAAGCAGTGCATTGCCGGAATTGTTCAACTTTAAACTAATCGAGGCGAATTATAAAGGGGACCCTCGGATGCGGGCGATAAAAGAATGGGTGGAAAGAAAGGACCCGGAGTTGGAGAAGAAGGTCAGAGTAATGAGTGCCTACCTCGGACAGCACGCACACGATTTCCATGTGCGGGAGAATTGCCTGTGGATGGACGAACGACTCGTCATCCCCATACCACTCAGGAATGCAGTGGTTAACCGAATCCATTGTTTTCACCACGGGCGCTCGAACATGTTCGATGCAGCAAGGGACGTCTGGTTCCCCTATCTCCACCGGAGTTTAGTTGCAGCTGCGGATGGGTGCAAGGAATGCACGGATGCAGGTAAAAGCCTTAAACCATTATGCGCTAAAAGTGACATTGGGAAAGTCTATGAACCACGGGAGCCAAATGAATGCCTACAGCTAGATTTTTGGGGCCCGATTAGATATCTAAATGAATCGAGTAAATATGTTGTGGTAGCGGTTGATCGATTCTCACGCTGGCCCTCCGCAATGATCTGCGGGAATGATAAAAGCGAGAAGGTCCTTAGGTTTATTAAGCAATACATATCTCAACATGGTAACCCTAGGAAAATTTTTATGGACCAAGGATCGAGTTTTACATCGAAGGCGGTTAAATCATTTTGCAATTCCGAAGGAATAGAAATAATATATTCACCCGTGAATGATCACCGTGCTACCGGATGTGTCGAACGTACAATTGGCAGCCTGAAAAATTTTGTTTTAACTTACGCAAAAGAAAAAGATAGCGGAAATTTAGAATCAATGATAGAACGAGCGTTGAGTGCCCTGAGATTTGCTCCGAATGCTACACTTAAAATATCGCCGTTTGAAGCTCATCACGGCAGGGAACCAAATACGGTCCTTCGAAATCTCACGAAAAAGCCGACCTTGCAAAATCTCAATTGGGACAGAGTGTTGAAACAAAAATCTGCCTATTTAGATTCGACGGACCCACGAAATCAGAAGATTCCCCAACCTATGGCAACTGATTGGGAAGAACGGTCTGACGTTGAGTATGACGTCGAACACATGAGCCACCCTAGACGATTGGCACAAGAGCAACTAGTTTCAGCTGCGGATGGAACACCAATGGTTGACGTGAAACAAACCATGGGGGGCAAGCCCAAACAGCCAAGCAAGCGGATGGAGCTATTGTTCCAACGACTAAAGGACAGTAATAAAAGGTATAGACCCATAAATCAGAAAGTAGTTAGCGAATCTAAGCATACTCTAACCTTAGCAAATGGCTCTGTACTTAGGAAAAGTGGAGTTGCTGTGAAAGGCCTCAAGCCCAACGCGCAGAAAAGTGCGAGCCAAATCACACTACCACCTCCCGCTATGAGTGCACTGAAACGTCGGGCGGAATTAAAACGACCTCAAAACGAACAGGCGACGGGGACAAGTACACAAAGTACAGCCGAAATTAGAACGCGAGAAATATCACCAACTCGGGATTCTGCGGAGGAAGCAGACTCGGATTCGGAGTACGAGCCAATAACGATTTCACGATACGCAGGGCAAACAACAGTTGCATCCGATCGGGGCGTGGAATTGAGTGCACCAAAGGTGTCGAAAGATGCAGAGGAAATGCGGAAAATCCAAATTTATCCGACGGAAGCGGCGTGCCAACATCCAAGGGAGTGGACACTGAAGTCCAAACCATGAACACTGAACAAGGGGGAAGTGGGCTGAATGTGAGAAACAAAGGACAGCCGGAAAAACAAGCAAAGAAGAAAGGGGAGCGAGGGCGACGTCTACGGCTTGTATCGTATTCTAGCCAGGAATCAGAAGACCAAGATGGGACAGGATCAAGGAAAAGTACCAGAAAGCGAACGGCGGTATCCAAATTCGGTGGTGTAATGATAGACAGCATATTCAAAGTGAGAACGACCAAAGGAGAGGAAGACAGAGAGCGGGACACGATCTAAGCGGGAGGACAAAATTTGGAAGAAGGGGTGAAGGGAAATGAAAACAAAACTATTTAAACTTAAATCTTATGCCCAGGGAGAGGGTGGACCACTGCGGGTCTAAAACTCAAACATTTATCCCTCAGATAATTTTTAAAACGTTTGTTTAAAAAATAATCGTTGAGGGAATGTTATATATATATTATTACTAGTCCTTAACTATATTATGTTGTTTAGCGCCATTGGTTTTGGCCATGTGTTTGGTGCGGCTAACAATTGATTAAGTACCTGCTAATCTTAGTTAAGTCGGTGTATGTTTTGAGTTATTGTTGCTAACCGTTACGACTAAAACAGTCAGTCTAGATTCCGTGAATTTAAGATATTGAACGTGCATTTTTCACAGGACATACCATGAGAAGCATTCTGTAGGACTCTCTGTCCAGTCTGAATGTTGTGACTGAAGATCCAGAGGCGCTCTCCTTCACTGTGATTGTGGCTGCCCTGGGAGTGCCGTAGATGAGAGCCAACTCTCCAAAGGAGCCCCCCTCGCCTATGGAGCCCACTTTGGCATTGTTCACATAGACGTCCACTTCACCCTTGTGGATGATGTAGAAATAATCGCCCTCTTCACCTAATAACAACGAAACAAATATCCATTCAATTAAGGATAACCAGTTGCTCTGCATGTAGCACAGAATTTTCTGATTATAACTAGAGAAAAGTTCAAAAACCTGAAAAAATGACATTTTTTACAGTTTTTTCGCTTAACTTGCAGTAGATTTTTTTTCACTAAAAGGCAATCGAATTCGATCAAAAGCTGCAAAAACTAGAGGTAAACATGTTTAAAATAATGCAAAATTGCATCAGTCATTCGTAATATTCGCGTAAATTATACTGAAAAACGGAAAATGCAGACTAGTTTTTCACGAAACCGCAAAAATTTTCACTTTTTAGAATCCAAATTAGGGCTGAAAGAACTTTAATATTCTACGACACTTGGACCTCTTGTGTTATTTCCCCAAGATTAACATCAAGTCTCTCATACAAAACATGTTCCTCGTCTTCTCTGTACTCACCCTGTGCGATGATGTTTTCGCCGATCTGGTAGTCTTTTGGTTCCATGACGTCGAATATGTCTGAGCGTGTTTTGTCGTCGAGGTACTTGAATAGAACATTCTTGTTCAGCGCCTCCTGCAGCGCCAACATCTCCTGATACGTCTTCGGGATATCCTATACAAAGGCGTCAAAATTACATAACCAAATAATTCAGAAAGGATCTGGAACATCCCAAAGCATTGTTTTTCTTCCCAATAAGATTTATTGGATTGCTACTCTCAATATATATTTTGCAGGTAGTAGATTAAGCGGCGCAGTGGAGTAAAGAGAAGAAAGTGCTCAGTCGGGACAGATCTTGATCGGTCCACCGCTCTTGCTAGCACCTGTTCTGGTCGACTTTTCTCAGGTAGAAGTCTTCTTGTCTCGTGTCCACCGTCGTCTTCGCAGCTGCTTTAAAAGTGTCGTTTGTTGGTGTTATTGAAATGAAGAAGTTGCTTCTGGTTGTTGTGCTGTCATGGAGGTGGTACACCTTCAACTTCGGCAAAAAAACTTGATAGCCGGCATTCCCGCTTCCGCGCAGGCAGGATTGGAAGGGGAGCCGGTGAACAGACCGCAATAATTCAGGCGGGGGATTTGTTGACAACTTCGCGCTTCATGCAGCTGGTGTCAGAGAGGAAAGAGTACCACGATCCTGCCGCGTATAAACCACCTGGTCTGACGCAACATTTGTACAGACACATTCCCTAACTGCAAACAAGATCCAAAAACACCATAGCATTTTTTCATCTGCCCACCTTACTGAATATCAGAAATGACGAAATGAAGTCTTTGCCCGAACCCTGACTACGAAGTCCTACGAGAAGAACCAAACAAAGTCTTGGAATACCTTCGCCGCACTGTGGACTAACGCCCCCCCCCCTATCTGTGACGGGATCCACAGCAAACAACATCGGCAACAGGAGAAAGTGCTAGTCACTAACACAGCCGCGTAAACGATTATTCCACATTCTATTTTTCTGACCCATGAGGTCGCTTGTTACGAAAAGTCCTCGATATAATATTGACACATATGTCAAAGGGGCTTTTCACCACTTGCAAACCAAACACAAAGGTAATTGATTATAGAACATATCAAATCATATGAGAAAGTAGGATAACCTCCGGCTTAAAATTGAAGAAAGTATTTTACAGAGAGGCGAAGCTGCGCTTTTTTTTTTTAAGAAATAAGCAAAAGAAAAAGTAGAAATAAGCCTCGAACTTGCAAAAACTCGAGGCTTAGCAAAAACTCGAAATAGCAAATCTGCTACCTAGCAAATTTGAGTCTCACGCACTAACCATTCAGCCACGGATGCTTAAAATCCCAAAAACTAGCCACCATTAACGAACGTACACATGCTAACAAATAGCCAATTCGATGCAGCAAAAGTAGCACCAAATATAAAAAGATACTGTTTTTTTTTTTACAAAATTTACATAACGAGATAGAGGGAATCGAAAAAGTAAATTACGAACGTTTTCGCACATTTGTGCATCATGTTTAAAAGTATTAAAATTTTTTAAAATGATCATCGATCATAAAAAATATCCTAAGACAATGTCTATACAAAATAATAAAATTTCAACCATCAGAAGTTTCAAATTTGAAATTCGCGCCAAAATTACATCATGATTAAATCATCAGACTTAAGTTTCTGAGACATTCTATTAATTTTTATCATTTAATTAAACTAAATTTAAATTTAATTTATCGATTTGTCTCATTTTCCAATTTCGAAAAATATACATTTTACAAAAAGATAAAATTTTGCATGTAATAAATTTCAAATCAAAAAACCACATTATGTATAAACTATGCATTTCAAAAAATTGCGAGATACATTGCGTTAGAAAAATCGTGAAACCAAGATTTTACTTTTGTTATGTTGTTTGATACAAATAGCTTTTTTCGTTTCACTTGATGCATTAAAAATGCATCAACTGTGTAAACTTATAACTATTCGAATGACAAAGCACCTGTTATCAATAAGCTGTAAAGGTGCAACAATAAAGCTGTCAGGACAATTCGATGCAGCAAATATAGCAGTCGCAACAAAAGTCGCGACAATATTTGTGACTTAGGTTGGAAAAAAAAGAAAGTTCGTACTATAACACATAGCTTCGCAAGTGTAATAAGAACGTTTTGAATAAATGCAGAAAGCACTAGAAAAGAATGCCGACAAAGGTAAAACTTGATTAACGAAATGAAAAAATATCGAAAATAGCCGACAGATGGTTAACGTTCATTGATACTTAACAAACTCATTCGTACATTTTGCTAGTTAAAACTTAAGCTTTTATTTATTAAGTTGACTGGCTAAAAACCTGTGATGTAACAATTGATGAAGGTGTGTTCAGTGAACCGATGTGTCAGTAAATTGTCAGATCATTAAACCGAATTATGCGGTAATTTGATCAATTGCATAATTCAATATTTATGTAATCTAGAAAATAGATTTTCTAGGATACAGAATCTATTTTCCCAGAGCTAGAACAATATCTTTTAAACGGTAAGTCTCATGGCAAATGTTTTTTTTTAAATCTTTTTATTCAATTATTTTTTGAGGAATTTTGTCACATTTAAATGCCAGTTCTCAAATTCGGCAATTATGTAATTGAACAGTGCATTTTAGTTTTACTGATCTGATCCCCCTATTTTGGTTTACTGATACATAGATTTACTTGACCTACTACCCAAATCATGGCCTTTAATTGAAATATTTATTGTTTTCGCGGCAAAGAATAAGGATAGTAACAAAAAAAGACCGCTCGTTTACCAGGACGAGGTCCTGGATGTTTCGACTGCACGTTAAGGCCAATTGCAAAGTTTTGTTCGAATGAATGACGAAACCATGACTTTTTTCATTTTATACACCCACAGACTCTTTTCATTTTATACCCTACATACTAAGCAAGGTTTAAAGGGTGTTTTTATCGTCTCTTATTGTCTCAAAAAAACTAAATTACTGGTCTAAATTCAATTCGGACCGCATTAATTTGCGCACGCATGTTATAAGCAAGGCCCGGATTAATATGTTATAACATAAAAACATATGTTTTAACATATTTTGCTCTTTTTAACATAAAACATGCTGATGATGGGTTTTAACATAAAATTCCAATATTGAACATGCAGAAATAAGCGCTGCTACTTTCTCAAGTGTTAGTTGATCAAATAGTTTGTTTGCTTTGTTCCGACTTTCTACGCGATTTTCTTTTCAGTTGCGCTTATGCCATGGGTCGCGATCAAGTAACCGGGAGTTCTCAATAGTTAGTGTGGACGTGGAACGAAGTTTTTCCACTTTATCGTACATTCTCGCTCCACAGAGACAGTCTCTCACTGTCGAAAACTTGAAATTTTACATGGTTGTTATGTGGAATACTGAGTGCAACGTTTTTAAGCATTTTTATTAACATTTTTATGAACATAAATTGCTCAAAATAATAACAAAAAATTCCGGGCCCTGGTTATAAGAACCTCTTACGCATGTTATAAGAACGCATTATATCACGCGTTAGTTGTCCCAAATTATGCAATTTTTAAACTGCTTAACTTCTATTTCGAGCAGGCGTTCTATATGCTCTTATAGAAATCGTTCCAAATTGGTTGAAGGAAGCTTATTTGCCATAACTGATTTGTTACTAGGAGCAAAATTTATCACTTTGTACTTTATATGGCGTGTGGGGGGATGATTTTTACAATAATTTCATTTCAATTTTTTTTTAGTTATTACTGCTCCATAGACCTTGAGAGACAGTCGGAAAGCTTCGCCCTGATACGAGCAGTATTGTTTAACTTTCAAAACATGAGAAGTAATGAGATAACATAATACATCTACTGACGCTTTTAGAAATGCCAAATCTTTCTCTGAAAAAAAAACTAAATAAATCAATACGACCTAGAACTGACACTTAAAAATTAAACACTCTGGTTTGCGTGAAATCACCATGTTCGTTTTCTCAAGCTAAGATATTCAGCAACATGCTTCAAGCAAAGGGTATGCACTGATTCTTTACAACTCTCTGCATTCGATAATCACATACAGAAAGCAAAATAAAGCCACAAAAACAAATAAGCAGCCACTCTTGTTTAATTGCCGCAACAACCAGTCCACAAACTGTGCGGCAAACAACCAAGTCTACATTTTTCCATGAAAAACAAGAACGGTTTTAGCATGATTTTACTTTTCATTATTTCCGTTAAAATGATCTCTATTTGACATACAGATAGAAGAAACAAGCACTAAATGGTTAATAAACTCATCGAATGTGCGGCGGCTCATGTTAAAGTGCAAAAAAAAACCAAAATGTCAGACCAGTCTAGAAAACAGGAAATTGGGAACTCCACCCGTCAATAGCTCCACACGAGACCCTTGGGCTGTTTCTAAACCCAATTTAAACAGCAAGATCTAGACTAATTGAATTATTTGGTGTCCAGTACTAATTCACATTTCACAATGAATTGAGTAAAATTGATTTAACTTCTTGAGAAAACAAATCAATTCGCGGGTAAATTCGACAATAGTTATTTTCCAGATGAATTAAAAACATGCATTGATCAATACAAGAACGAGCGTTTACAGAATTCAAACATAGCCAACAGATAGTTGGAAAAGTGCTTAAGATTAAGAAAACCAAAAACAAGAATATTTTGAAAATTTTTCAACTTACGAAGAAAAAAATATGCCACGTTGAAGCTCTAAGAACTTCAGTGATCGGCACTTTCTTTTTGCAGTTATCCCATTTAGAGTAAATTGGATCAGCTAGGAATTCAGAAAATTAAATTCACGTTTTTGTGACCTGTTTACATTTGCTGTTCAATAGTGGAGTTTACCTTCCTTTAAACAAATTTAATGAAATGAGCGAAATATCAAACATCAGTTTTCCTGAAAAAAAAAACCTAAAATTATCGCGGCCTTTGTAAAATCAGGGGCTGATTTGACTCCCACACCGCCCAAATAATGTCCCTTCGATTTTGCGACATCCATTTTGCGAAAAATATAAGAGAGTCAGTCGACCGCTCTTATATTTTTTTCAAAGACGCCTTTGACGCCAATATATACGAACTTTAAGGAAAACCTCACGCCAAAAAAATGCTCGGAAAATCAATTTGGTCGACCTAAACAAAGTCAAAATTTTTTCAAAAAATCAAGTGACCTACACACAGTGGATTCCAGTGACCTACGCACGCCAAAAAATCCGCCTAGCCAAAAAATCCTAAACATTTAGATCACTCTACACCTCCCTCCAAAAATCTGCTAATAGATCTCACGATTCTATCAGATGGATATAAATGGTTTGTACGGTCACTAAGGAAAACTATTTCAATTCAATTTCTTACTTTTTTGACGTAGTTTGCGATATCTTCTTCCGTCACGGCTTCAGATGAGACTGCGCCTCGCCTTGTTTTCTTCTGCTGGTTGCGAGAGGGGGGCTGGTAGTCATCGGGCAATGTGTCGTCATCGATCTCCTCCGAAGTGGCCCCCAAATGTGACCCTCCCCCTAATTGACCCCCACTAGAACCACCTCGCATGCCACTGCTGGCGTCTCCAGAGCCTGATGCTGACCTCATTTCCTAACAAAAATCGAAGGATAAACTACAACAATAACATGCAAAACAGAAAATTGGATACTTTCGCTGGCAGAGCTTATCATTCGAGTTTACAGACAGTTGACTATATTGACAACTCTGATGATTTTAATTTCGTCCACTTCGTTGAAAACAACAATATATATATATAAGATACAGAGGCTAAGCTGAGCTTCGCACCACTTGCGATACAACAATTATAGGATTAGTGCACCATGACGCCAAAAATATAGCAAACAGAACTTCGAACAATGTTACTATTGAAAAAGGAAGTGTAAAAACGATTTAAAAAAATTAAAAACAAAAAAGCATTTGTTTCGGGTTTGAATGTATTTAAATTTTTCAAAGAGGTACAAGTGGGGTTAAACTTTGGCAGTCAAAAATTGGTGTCAGAGTCTTATCGATCTCATAAGTACTACAATTATAAAAAAATTATTATTTGAAAAATACTGAAAAAAAATCTGCAAGTCAAAAAATGGAGAAAAAGTCCAAAAGTTAAGCAAGGTGCAATTATGATTACCTGTTTTCGCCGCATCAGATTTGGGAGGGTAGTTTTTGAGAACTAAATTCAAAGTATCAAAAAGCGTTCAAAAAATCGGAGTTTTTGGTTTCAGTCGAAAAGACGGGTTGTGGGAAGCTCCTCTGCTTAAACTGCTCTGCATGAATTTGTTTAACGAAAAGTAATGACCTCAGGAAAAGCCAAAATTGTGATTTTTACAGTTTTTTTAAAGTTTGGCTTTTCTCGAAGTCAATATTTTTCGTTTAAAAAACTTAGGCAGAGCAGTTTAAGCAGGGAAGCTTCCCACAACCCGTTCTTTCGATTGAAACCAAAAACTCAGATTTAGGAGGGTAGCTTTCGTGAACTAAAGTCAAAGTTCCAAAAATCGGTCAAAAATTCAAAAATTTGACTTTTCTGACGGCCATTAAATTTTTGTCAAAAAACTTAGTAAAGCCGCTAATGCACGGAGGCTTCACATAACCTGTTCTCTCGAATGATCCCATGAACTCAGATCTGGAAGAGTAGTTTCCGATAAAAGTCGAAAAGTTTGAAAAAACGGTGCAAAAATCAAAGTTTTGATTTTTCTGAGGCCCATTAATTTTGTATTAAAAACTTAGGGAGTAGCCGTTTTTGCAGGTGAGCTTCGACAAAACTCCACCCATTGAACTCACAAAATCTTCAGATTTGAATGGGTAGTTTTCGAGAAAAGTTAAAAAACTTCAACGGTTAAAAAAATCAAAAGTTTGACTTTTCCGAGTGGCATAATATTTGCGCGTCTAAAAATTTGGACGAAACTGCTCATGCAGAGGAGCTTCTCACGACTCGCTCTTTCTATTGAATCCAAAATCTTATAACTAAGATGTAGTTTCTGAGAAAATGATAAAAATTATGGGTCAAAATTCCCCCATTCATTTTTTTCGAAACCTCTAGAAAGTGAAGTAAAGGTTAAAAAAGACTAGTGGATTATGCAGGCATACTGGGGAAGGGTAGGACTCTCTAAAAAGGAATAAACCCGAACCCATAAATTTTCATAGTAACTGTTTTATCAAACAGGAACTAGACAATTTGGAAACTAACAGTCAGAGCTTAAGTCGACAACCATGAAGCCGAAAAGTCATCAGAAAATCATCAGAACTCTATAATTATACGTACAAAAATTGAGTAGCACCCGGTAGTTAAACTTGAACTTTCATGTAATTGAGCATGTCAGCATAATTGATTCAACTGATTTTGTTAAACTAGCTGTTAGCTAGAAAAAAGTCAAATTCCGCTTTAATAACGCTCGCCAATCGCAAGCGTAATTATACAAATCTTTAAAAAATCCTACTTTTGTTAATGATTTAAAATCAGCACGGCGTATTATGGCAGAAAAATTCCAAAAAAAATTGGTGAAAAATTGAAACAAATAAAACAAAAGGCCAGTATCTGACAGCGAATTAAATCACCAAAAGTATGACTTTAAAAGTAGCCTTACTAAAAATTTTAGATATTTCACAAAGCCAGTATCTGAAAGCGAATTACAATCACCAAAAGTATGACTTTGAAAGTCACCCTACCAAAATTTTAGATATTTTACATAAAACATAACACCAAATGGTATCCATAAACGACCCCCGCTCCTCAATTAAGAAGTTTATTTCATGGAAGTTTTGAATCTTAATGAAAATGAGGCACTTGCCACGAAGTGTTTAAATATCCGCAAGTTGCCAATATAGCTGATTGTCAATCTTCCACTTTTTAAATAAGCAGTAAGATAAGAGTAAGACAAAATACTATTAACTTTTCCTTAAATGTCAAAAAAAGCGAGCCAGTTTCTACCACCGTGACACAGGTGTGCGCCGAGCCAGCGAAATCCAAGCTATAAAAGCCAACTTAGATGAATGTACTCACTTGAAAGTGGAGCGCTACGAAACAATCAATCCTATCGCCCAATACGAAAACGAAAGAGTGATTTAAAACAATTTGAAATAACTGCGAGCTACTAGCTGGGGAAAGTCAAAAATAAGCCTAATTTCAGATTTCAGACATCTCTAATGTAATGCTTTCTTAATTCTATCTATCTTTAACGGGGCCAATGTTCTGTTAAGCCGACACAAACATTGAATGAAACATTTGTTGAACCATCTGATTAGATGCAAATCTTCAACCGTTGCTTCGTGTTTGGATTTGTGATTTCAAATTACTTTGATGTCGATGACGATGTTTGATGTCTGTGAAAGTTAATCGTACATGTATTTAGTCAGTGGGTGCTATATTGAGACCAGTCGGTATAGGTTTCCTTACCAGGTAAGTACCAGTCGAACGATAACCCTGTCAAATTTTCACATTATTTACCTTGTGCCACTAAATTTGACCGAGGAGGCGTCTTGGATGAATGAAACACCAATTTTTATTTGTACGTTGAACTCGAAACATTTCTCGATTTGGACCTTTTCCACTTCTGAATTTACCTTTTCCACTTCTGAGAGGTTTAAGCTTTTGTTCCACTACGACTTTTAAGTTTTGACATTCAAATTCAGAAAAAAGGAGTCGAGTTGTAATTTTTCCACTGGAATTTAAAACTTAAAGTTTCTCGAATTTCAAAAATCTTCCATGATGGCACGAATCTTCCCATACAAAACAGTCCAATGCAAAATAGTCCAAAAAATCATGTAATGGAGGAAAAAACAGTCCAGTACAAAACAGTCCGGTTTAATGTCGCGGTGGGCGCGCTGCGTCATCGCGATAACCGGTTTTAAATTTCGTATTAATTCCTACCCTCTTTTGTCAAGCTCGCAACACGTTGGCGCGACTGCGGCGGTCACTGTTTTGTTCATTATGTTTGTTGAACAAAGGACCATTCTCGGCATCCCGGCTTGTTAAAACAATTATTAATTAGGACTGTTTTCCGGACTGTTTTGTATCGGACTGTTTTTTCGTTCATTTTCATACTTTTCCGGACTGTTTTGTATTGGACTGTTTTGCATGAGACTGTTTTGTACAGACACGGGTTTTTCGTTTCCTCTCTGAAAAAGAAAATCCACTTTGGAAACTAGAAGTCGTTCAAAAAATGACGCACAATTGCCACTCAGAATTGAATTGATAAATAAAAAATCAAAAAGCAGACCCCGTAAAGCCAAACTTGAGCGTGGCCAAAATTTAGACCTTTAACTGAAAAAAAACTAAAGAAAAATCATCACGACCTAATTAAGAGTCAACACTTGCTTCATTGAACTTACAAAAGATTAAGCGTGTCACTTAACAGCGATTTTACATGAGAAACAAAGGAAAATTATATTCGTTCATTTATCCAATACGATTGAAAGTAGCACGAAAACAAAAATATTCTTTAATAGTGAAATATCCTTTCATTTATTGAAAATCTAGACTAGTTCAGTTATTCAGTCGTGAGACGAAGTTAAATATTGCATACACCAGCGAAAAAACGAACACCTCAAAAAATTGACTGAAGTAGATGCGCTTTTATCTAATAAAAACCGTGAGACCATCAGAGTCAATCCCATACCCTGGTGCCGTGCAATGCTTCCCTGATCCTGGAGATTCATCTTTACGAGACAGATCCTAGCTTAGCTCTTATGTTGGCATTATAAGAAGCGAGGCATGCGTTTTCGGTGGATCTACGATACAGTGCTGATTTAATGTATCCGACAAAAAGAACAAAATTTAAACTTCAAATGCGTATTTCTCAAAGTGAGTTAAGATTAGACAAAAGTAAACAAGACAAAACTCGCTTAGAAATTTATCAAAACTATTATGGTGCAACTTTTTGCGAAAGTCGGACGCAAAATGAAACCTCAAAAATGGGTCTTTATTAGTTAATCAAAAGTTACGCTAAAACTACCAAGTGAACTGATAAGCAAGTTATATCAAACCGAGCCTCTTACGCAGCCAAACGAAAATCGAGGAAAAACATTGGCGCAAAATTTATATTTGGTTTTCAAGCTATGATTTAGAATCTTATTTAGCAAAAATTACATGTTTTGGCTATCAAGCAAAAATGTATTCTCTTACACAGGTTTTTGGAGATTTTACCCTTCTAGACCTTTTTGAGCTGTGTGAGAGGCTCGGTTTAATATAGGTTGCTCATCAATTCACTCGGTAGGGCTAGCGTAAATGTGGAAACAGAGGTGAAGCTGAGCTTCGCACCACTTGCGATACAAAACAAGAAAGCCGCTACGTCAGAAAAAAAAGTCGAAAAAACTATATCTATCTGAAATTGGGCTAGCTTTGAAATTTAAAAAAAATGCCGATGCAATGGAATGTGAAATACGCACACAAACTTTTTTGCTCGTCGAAAGCCGCAAAACGGCCATTAAACTGGTATAATACAGGTCAAAGCCTATCAAGCCGAAAAAAAAGAAAAACCCGAACTAGAATTGAACTAGAATTTTTATTAAGATTTTTAGCATGTTGCGCGATCCAGATTCAAGCATAAAAATTTTGTTTTCCTTAAAAAGAATCGAATTTAAGTCAGTAAGCCGAAAAATAGACCGAAATCATTTGGGCAGAATAAGAATTTTAATCGAAAAAAAAGGAAACATAAAAAGTCAAAGGCAGTAAAATTATTAACATCAGAGGTAAATCAGAACCCTAAACTAACTATAATGTAAAAAAAACTTTAAAAAAAAACATTTCTACAATATGACAACTAAGCCGACAAACTTTTTTGTGAAGCGGAATATTACCCGTTAAAAAAAACAAGTCCAGTCAGATTTTAAACCCAGATATATATACCGAATGACAAAAGTTCACTGTGCACCGAATGACAAAAGAACAAGAGCGACAATAACAATCAGTCGTGTGAGTTTGCTTCTAGCTGTCTTATTTAAGCCGAAAACAATAAACAATTATATATATATATAAATTTTAACCAGGGGCAGAGCATATATACATATATATGTTCATCACTTTATGGAGTGCCCCTGGTTAAAATTTTGAAATTTACACGCAAATTTATGATTATTTTTCTCAACTGAGTTGTTGCCTCATCCGAAGCCAACTAGCACTGATCATGGTGAGCCTCGAACCTCAGATATTGCGATTGACAATCAGAGACGTAGTGACTTCACGACAGCTCCTTTTTTGATAAGATACAGAAATTCAAGATTAAAAACGACCCATTTCCAATTTCAGAATATCGTAAAGTCAATTTGACAAATTCAACCTCGCCGAACGAACCATTCGTGAAAAAAACCATTTTTAAAACATGCTTAGACCAAACAATAGACAAAGACTCCGTTCAAACCTTTGGTATAAACAGTAAAACAAGTAGTCAAATGAAAAAATTCTTCCTGACACAAAAGTGAAGTCGCCCAAACAGGTGGAAAACAAGGTATCACTCACAAAATCTACATCTTCCAATATAAAGCTTAAATGCCATCTGAAAAAAACCTGTACCATCACCCAAAATCAATAATCTCACCACGTTCTAATAATTTGTCTTAACTACTAATTTGCCTAACCTATATATCACAACAGCAGCCTAGTCACGCACGCCTGTTTGTAAAAAAAAGGCAGAAATAAGCATACATGAAATACGCAAACTGCACAACTTGTCGACAAAGAAATCAACACAGAGGCGAAGTTGCACTTCGCATACACAAGCAAAAATAAGACCGATAACGCTGCTGGGAAAAACTAAATGAGTGCAAATTTGAGTCTAAAAAATTTCTGAAGTGACGCACACCAATTATGACTCTACATAATTGCTAAGTGACGCAAGCCAATTATGACGCATTAGCAGTACCAGTCAATTTGAAGAAAAAAAGAAATTTACCAACTAATATGCCTCAATTTATAGAGCGTACACATTTCAGCTAGCATACGAAAAAGTTCATTTAAAACATCCGACCCTGCTCAGGTTCGAACCCTCTTATTTTGTTGCGGGTCTCCTTCCCTACTACCTCTACGCTACAGATCTATGATAAATTGAAGCTAAAGTGCTATTTGGAATATTATAGTCTGTGTTAATATCCTTAGCATTGTCTGTACTTAATAGCTTTTGTCTGTACAATATTTGCGACTTAGGTTGAAAAAAATGCGGAACTAAATTACCAATATGAATGGGAGTACATGGAAAATTGGATTAAAAACTTCTGTGCTGTAGTTAAAAAATGATCCGCACGAGATGAAGCAGAAAAGATTTCAAAAAAGAAAACTTCCAGTTTATAAATATTTGTAAGTCCAGCCGGTTATCCATCCATTCGACCCAAATATCAACGATAGTTTTGGGTCAAACACGCAAAACATTTGATTTAACTTGTTCGAATAACACAAAAAAAACTTGCAAATATGCTTCAATGATCTGTTAGCCAGCAATTTGTAATAGGGCAGAAGTCCTATATATTCCTACTTAACGCTAGCCAATTGCTAATTGATGGCGTACTTAAATTATTGTAACTGAGATGGAGGCACAACTAAAACTGAATTTGACCTTTAAAAGAAGATTAGGGCCTATACAAAATAATTTCTTAGAAATAATGTTTGCATTACTTGTATTTGCTTAACACATTTTCATTTCACTGGTAGCTTTGGTAATTTACAATTTTTAGTTTCTATTTATTGTTTTAGTTGATGAGCCAAAACCTGGGAGCTACAAAAACTCAACTTAACGGCAAAGCAGTCGGTTAGTTTGAGAAAAACACTGAATTATGTAGTGTTGAGTTTTCATAAAACTTAATCTTCATACTATTTCAAGCAGGGCTTTCAAATTGCTCTTAGTAAAAAAAATCAGTCGTAAAACTACTTCTCAATAACTTATAAATAATGTGAAGTATACAAACTACATGCTAAATCTGTTTTGACGCTTTTGTAAATACCAACAATTGCCATGACCATTTTCAGAGCATGTTTTAAAATTAATATTTGCTCGCTCCGAGATCACAGTGCGCCTACTACACCATTTGAAAACAAAACAAACAATCAATTAATTTAGGACAGCTATCTAAATATAAATACCACTAACGGAACATACAAACACCGGGCAGGTTTCTCCGTCCTGGCAAAAGAATGGTACGACTGACTATGATTAGCTGGTCAATGCAATGTAAAAACGGCTAACGCTTAAACGCATCCACATTACTAATTCACTATTTCTCAATCAAATGAAAATAAGCCAACCTTTGTTCTTCTTCGTTCGAAAAGACATTTGAAGGCAAATGAAACTGGAAATCACTTTCTAAGCTTTATGGGACCCATTTTAAAGAATCGATCAACTCGCCCTTTTAATCTGTCCAACAGTAATCTTCCCCCATCGCGTCAAGTTGAGCAGCTTAATCGACTTTTTATTAACCTGGGGAGCAACTTATTGCGTAGACTTGAATAGTCTTCTTGGAAATAGTGGATCATATAATTCAAAATTTCTGATTCCTATGTCAAAAACATACTCAACAGAAAGTTAGAAAAGTGTCAATGAACTTAAGAAAACCGAAAAAAAAACATTCGAACAGTTTTCAACTTAATGGGAAAGAAAAAATGAGGGATCTTGTTAACTATCCCCCCCCCTATTGCAATAGGGGGGAAATAGTTAGCAAGGTACACAATTCGTATATGCTTAACTGTTCAATACATTCGGGGGGGGGGGGTTGATTCGTTACAAGGTACCATGGGGGGCATAGTTACCAAGATACAAAATGAGATACCAAACGACAAGGAAAATGAGTCTGTCGTTCACAAAATCGAAAACCAAATTGGGCAAATGATTCAACAGATTTTGTTAAAAAATTGTATCCTAACAAAGTCTACGCTGCAACTGGATAACACTTACTAATTGCAAGCGTAACAAGGATAGCCGGTTACTGTGCAAGTGGCACAGAATAATTCGACCACTGTCTTAAAAAGAAACATAGCCAACTGACAGTTGGAAAAAAAGTAATGCACGCAAGGAAACTAAAAAACCGACTTGTTTTTTCAAAAAATCTTCTCATCTACTAAATTTCGAAAAAAATAGATGGCCTTAAAGCTATTTGAATTTGTAGAAAAAAATTATGATTGACACTTTTTTTGTTCAAACCAACCCAATTTGAAAAAACTGGATCAATAGGTTTAACTTTTCTTTCACTGGGAAATCTTAAAATTAATTATATTTTCGAAATTAGAAGTCGATCACGTTTTTCGTAACCTTTACAATTTTGCTGTTCGATAGTGGAGTTTGCCTTCCTTTTAACAAAAGAAATGCACTGAACTTAAAAAAAATCACAAGTCAAACCGCCAAAAAAAATTGAACGTAAACAAACTTTAAGACTCCCTGAAAAAAAATCAAAATGAGCAAGACATATACTGGAGAAAGAAAGCAACGCAACCAAACAGTTTTTAAGATTTTTTGAATTTCCCTAAAAAAAAAAAGACTTGAAACGTGAAATATTTTCAAAATATGTGTGAAAACAAGAAATTTGACCATAACTGAACTGTTTGATCAAACATAGTTTGAAAAAATATATTTTTAAGCTATTGTAAACCTGATTAAGATAACAAAAATGTGGAACTTTTGGACCAGATTCTACCAGTGAGTACATAGAAATTTCATTTGGATTTTGGTAATTCGTTAGTCTAATGTAAGTTTTTGTGTAACATATATAAAAATCAGAACTTTCGAAAGAAAAATAGAAGTCCTTAAAGCAATTTGTTGTGTATTTTGGGACAATATATGATTGGCCCTTTTTTTGATAAAATGAAACCAATTTGAGAAAACTGGATCAATAGGTAAAACTTTTATTTCGCTGAAAAATCAGATAATTAAATTCCATTTACAAACTCAGAAGTTTATCAGGATTTTTGTGGCCTTTAGACTTTTGCTGTTCGGCAAAGGAGTTTGCCTTCCTTTTAACAAGGAAATGAACTGAATTTTAAAATAAATCAAAAGTCAAACCGCGAAAAGTAAGTTAGAGTCAAAACAAATTTCAAGATTTTCCTGAAGAAAAAAACTAAATAAAAATCATCATGATCTAGATAAGAGTCTGAACTAAGCTCATCAACTCTTAAAAAGATTCAGACCATTTTTATCGACACTTAAGGATCTGATTGACGACTGAAAAAGCTTTACTATTGCTACACGTACTCCGTTATCTTTTTTTTTAGCCCAGAAAAAACCACCCTACCCCAGAGCTTATTTATACTGTAGAAAAGGGGTTGGATTAACCACCCCACTCGTAAATATTAAAATCTCAAGGCATTAAAATTTATAGAACGACCAAAAACCGAATATCTGAAAGCAACAGAAAAAAAAACAAAATCGGAAAACTTTTTTGATAAATGTCAATTTCTTTAAAATTTCAGTAGTAACGTAAAACGTTACAATTGAAAATGTTTCTCATTACGCTTGTGATCAGCAAACGATATCAAATCGAACGGACTTTTCGCGCCATTTGAACTTTTGTTATCCGAGGGCGTCATATATTTTCCATTTAGCAAATGAAATTGAATTTCTTTTAAAAAGAAAACAATTGCAATTAAAATTAAATACGCGAAAAATGAGATTTAATCGTTGTCAATTTTTAAAAATTACACTACAAAATTATCTGAAAACTATTTTTGTAGTACCGAGATCTATCTTACCTTCACAAAACTGCACAAAAATAAGCTAAATAAATAAACAACCAAATCGAAACTTGTTACAATTTTATATATCGCAATGAATAACTTGATTCGTTTTATATAAAACTACACCAACAGATGTAGAGCGAAGATGGTTATATCTTTAACTTGGCGTGTCAGTTAAGTCGCGGATGGTTTTAAACTATTCAACTAGACAGCACTGTTATGCAGTATTTATCAACACATTTGCACAACTTTCCTCATCTGAAGAGTAAGTTTAGGACACGGATTTGCAATAACCGATTTAAATTTAGCTGGTAGATACAACACACACTGATAAAATTCAGAGGGAAATTGGCGAAAAGCTGATGATAATATTTTCAACTTGAAGTTACTATGTTGAACTATCTAAAATTACGACCTAACTTGACGCAGTTGAATCTCTTGACGGCAATAATAAGCTACGTACTTGTTTTTTCTATGACCAAGTGCTATGTGAAAATGAAACTGAACTCAGAAGTGCAATTTCTAACTGAGATTTTGGGATGACCAAAAACAACAGGAAATGACAGCAAATCGTCTAGCGTTATCTTCAGAATTCAGTAGTAAAAATAAGAAGGAAATTTGTAATCCCCGCGAAGGAATTAAGATATAATCGTTATCTTCCCCTAGTTTTAAACAAATATATTCACAGCAGGTATAATAGCTAAGTGAACGCAGGCACAGGGCAAACTTGAGCTAACAGAATTAACAAACGTAAAGTGATAACTTCTCCACTTTTCAGGTAGCAAAATCACTTATCGAAGACAAACAGTTACCAATCTTGTCATGAGAATTTTTACCACTACTCCGCTACCCAATGCACTTTTATGATTGATCTTTTGTTTTTAGTAATCTTAGGTCTCGGCGAAGCGGATATCAATTTCCATAAACCCAGGGCAAAAAAAAGAAAAAAATAAGAGGCAATTAAAAATACTTTAGTGCGTCAGATGCAAAAAAGCCAACCTTCAATTACTGCGCGCCCAAAAACAAAAAAAAAAGATTAATTTAGTAGAAAATAACGTATTGCGTCAGCTGAAAAAAAAGTTGACATTTAGCAAAATAATATATGACAAAGAGCTCATAGAATACTCGTACAAAGGAAATTGAACGTCGTTGCATACAATCGCCATAAAATGTTGAAGCCGCCTTCTCATAAGATGCAGAGGTTACAAAAAAAATATTAAAACTCTCATTTCATGTAGATAACGTAAGATAATGTAGATATGGATTCCGAAAAAATAAGGTTTAACAAGGAAGTAAGGTTATTGCAGGTATGTAAAACCAATGCTATCTCTACAGTTGAATGCGAAGTTGAACTTTGCACGCGTTGCTATACCAATTGCCACACAGCACAAACAAAGCGTGGCAAACCAGCTGATCGAAAATACGATAAAAGTCACAAGTCGAAAAAAAATCATATCATCGAAAATTTCATTTTTGTGTTGAATAGAATTCACTTGCAGAAAAACGCCCAACTAAACAATTAAAGGTTAAATTATCTTCGAAAAAATAAGAAGTGGTAACGAAGCCATTGATATTTGAGCAGACACCCGATGAGCCGGTGAAAAAAATCTCAATTCTCCTCAAAAACCCACACCTTTCAAGTCAAATAAAGGGGAAAAAAAGAAATTTGCCAACATCTAAGCTGCTAAATTTAAAACCAACCAAAATACAAACATCAAATAGAACAGCTATTTGAAAGGCAAACATGCTCAAAAAATAACAGTTGGTTGACGCAAGTACAGATTAGGAGATGACCAACAAGTCCACGAAAACCATCCTGTGAAAAAAGTTATTGGCAGGAGAAAAACTAGTTGCCCGTTGCACAGCCTTGTATATCGCTAAGATAATCCAAACTTAAACCACATCAAATTTGAGCGTGCACAATTTTTATGACTTTCAAGAAAAATCAACACTACCTACTTAAGGGAAAACTACCGAACATTACTCCGACAACAATTGAAAACTTTCCAGAAAGCAGTGACCTTTTGATCGCAACATTCAGAAATAAATCAATTTTCAGAAAGACATTTCATTTACCTTAGCAAGCCGATTTAGTCATTCAGCTAAGTAACCTTTCATGTTTGACGGACTTAAGACTTTATGTAACGACCCATGTTCAGGACTGTAATGAAAGCCAGGTCTCTAACAAATCATCAGAAGCTCTCAATCTCTCTCTCATATGAGATACTTAGGATTTGGCATGTTTAAATGTCTCCCTCTTAGTTTTCCTGCCTACTTTATTCATGTTGCCTTAAGAGAATTATAGCGGTTCATTGACACAAAAAAAAGCCAAAAAATGAAATGAAGTCTTTGAGCCATGAACAAGATGTGTTAAATCCTGACATAAAACCTTGCGTTTGATTAAATTGGACAATTTTCTGACCTGCAAAAAAGTTTGTGCCGAACTTATAATGCTTGCGTGATCAACCTATGATAAAAACAAATAGCTCGAAAACGTTTAACTTCAGTAGCGAGAATGCAACGTAGGCAATCAACCCCATCTGCAGTAGTCATTTTCTGGTGGGTCCCTCGTTTCGAAATATGTCAAGCGGTGGTTTTATTCCCAGCGGAAACAAAAACCTTAATTTTTTTGCCTCCAATTAAATACATGTAATCCTTGGATTAGTTAACATGTGTCAAAAATAAGTACAAAACACAATGGCGAAGCCGATCTTTGCACGACTTGCGATACGGCATAAAAATGGCACTGCTGACAGGAAAGGAGAGCCGAAAAAAATTGAAAACACTTCAACACAAATAAAAAAAACTTCAAAATGTTGTCTGGAACGATGAAAAAGTTCCAGAAAACGATGAAAAAGTTTTGATAGATGTCAAGAGGCGGTTTTATTCCAGCGGAAACAAAACTATTGATTTTTTTGCCTTCAATTAAATACATGTAACCCTTGGATTAGTTAACATGTGTCAAAAAAAAGTACAAAACACAAGTGCGAAGCCGATCTTTGCACGACTTGCGATACGGTACTGCAGACAGGAAAGGAGAGCCGAAAAAAAACAAGAAATTGAAAACACCACAAATAAAAAGCTTCAAAATGTTGTCTGGAACGATGAAAAAGCACGTCCAGAAACACTCACGACTACGTTTACTGAAAATTTAATATCATTTATAGAGCGACAACTGAACCAACAAAACTTGGGTAAATTGTGTGAACACAAAATTGTTATCATGAAAAACTTTGAGCTATAATTCTATTCTTAGACTTTCAGCATTTTGTGCGATCCGGAGGGAGCATGAAAATTACGTTTCCCTCGAAATGGACGAAAAGGCTAAGTCGATAAAAGATAAGCAAAGTCATTTGGACCGAACAAACTTTTAAGCGAAAAAAAGCAAAAATACGAGAACAAGGCTAGTACAATTACAAATAACAGGATTAAACCGAGCTACCAAAAGGCAACTATGTGAAAGTAATGATGAGCCGACAAAATACAAGCAAGCAAACAAAGGGCCGACATTTTTTTGAAACGGAGATTTTTTCCGTTTCAAAAAAACAGGTCCTGGTCAGATTCGAACCCAAGACATTTCTGTCCAGGCGTATTCACTACCTCAACACTAAGTCTGACATAAACGCCGAAAAACTTCATTGTGAACCAAGATATCAAGTGATTCTGTTAAGAAAGTTGTTAACCCCCAAAAAACTGTACATACCGATTTGAGAACGCTTGCTAATCGCCAGCGAATCAACGCCGTTACATAGTATAAAGTTAATTGAAAATATGACAATTTAGCGTTATCAAAAAAACTATCGCGTTCACTTCATATCTAATCATAGATCTAAATTATCGTGAGCTAGTGGAAATTCGATTCTATTTTTAAGACTTTGTCTAAGCGCCGGCTTCAAACACCAATTGTTTTTGAAAACAATTTAATTCTGAATTCTGTGATTCTTAAATTTGAAATCTAATCATAAAGAAAATCATTTTCTACCTGGTGGGTGAACTATTTAGTAAAAATGTGAAAAGAAAACATCTACAAAGTACAAAACTTCCATCTTTCTGTCTCCAAAGATATTCAACTTGAGATTCTCATCACGCGGATTGAAGGAAAATTTCTCGAAAGATTATGAAGAAAAACTTTGACGAAGCACAAGAACCACTTTCGGAGATGATTCTATTGTCGCAAAGTTTATTTTAAACTTGTTGACTCATAATGATTTGTGATTTTACTTGAGGAAAACATGTCAAGAAACACAATTTAAAAAGCATTTATCGAGCGTCAACTAAGCCCACAATACATGGGCCAAAAACAAACAATTGTCATAGAAAACTTCGAACTAGGAGGCGCGTGCTTTACTTCCAGTAAATTGAAAATGGGCCTATCAAAATTTGAGGCTCCGCAATAAAATACGGTCAGTTTTCAGATTTGTCGGAGAGTTTACGACAAAAAAAATCAAAATTGTAGAAGAGGCGAAGCGGAGTTTTGCATTTATTAAGATACAATTTTAAATTCCGGCGTACAAAATTGACTTTAAAAAGGCAACATATTTCAAAAGCAAATATAACACCCCAAGCATTCTTTAACACACTTATTTTGCATAAAAGCTCACTTGACAAACACTGACACTTAGGATACAACGCAAGCGTAAAATTGCAAGCTAGCTAATACACAACGATACGGAAATATATAATTCGGGGAAGATAAATTTGAAGAAAAAAAATTGAAATTTCAGAAAACTGTCGAAAACACAACCAGCAGTTTTGAATTATCTTTTTGTATTTACCGAGCAGCAAATAAGCTGACAATACGCACGAAAACACCCATTGAGGCGAAATAAAAATACAACATGGAATAAAAAAATCGTTGTTATAAAAAAAACTTTTGAGCGGTGAAGTTTTTAAACACCATAATCGATTAGAAATTTTCAAATTCAGAGTTGGTAAAGTGACAAAAATCACAGGAGATTAAGAAAAGATGCAATCAAAAAAGATTTCTTGTTCCCGATTGTACGACACTTTCTCTCGCAAGTGTTAAGTGAAAATAAAAGCAGTTTTTCAAACTTTTCAGTTCTTCTAAATACAATTTGACGTATACTGAAATCATGTCATACAATTTGAGGTACACTGAAATAAAATCTTAAAAAAGAGTTATAATGTGTTAAAGTTCATTCCACGAGTATTTTCTGATGTCACTTCCAACTTTGAAAAACAACTAAGGTTTTTGTCATTCATTTCCGAGTTTACCTTCAATCAAAGCTAACTGATTCTATGTAGTAGTTAGAACATAGTTGAAAGATGCCCGAGGGGAAAAGAGCCCGGCCTGAGGGCAAAAAGTTCCCGATGGCGGCTTTTTTGCCCGATGCCATCTTCAACCATGTTCTAACTGTTGACGAGTATGTTTTTGCTCTTTGAGGGAAAGATGCCGGAAAATTGTGAAAGAGCCCGGAAAATTGTGAAAGAGCCCGGAAAGTGCGCGAAACTATGCAAATGATTTCTTTTTTCATTCATGCGTTCTAATATTTTATTTATGCCTTATCGTGAAAGAACATGTGTGGAAGAGCAAAAACATACTCTTCTCGTAAGATTACTACGCAGACACTATTTCATTAACTCGAATTCAAGCCTTTCAGCAATAAAA